ATCCCTGACAAAATCTCAGCTAAGCCTAGCAGGGATCATTGTCCCTGTGTTTTCCAGATTTAAAAATTTGGGAATTTTGGGTTGTTTTTTTGCTGATGGARGGAGGAAAACCCTTCAAATCCCAAAAGAAGAGTGGGGAACTCACCTGCTGCTTGAGGTGAGTCTCCTGCTGCTTCATCAGCTCACACATCCTCTGTGATTCCACGGCCTCCTTCAGCAGCTGGGGAGAGCAAAGCCRATATTTGGGAATGATTTTGGCAATTCCCTGCATGGGGGCCACATGAGGGCTCCAGCCAGGGATAATTTGGGAGAACTCAGGTTAAAATATCCCAGAGCTCCAAGATTTAGGGCTCTGACCACTGAAGGGTCTGGAATAACTCAGGGATTCAGAGGTTAAAATATCCCAGAGCTCCAAGATTTAGGGTTCTGACCACTGCAGGGAATGCCAGGATTTGGGATAACTCAAGGTATCCAGAGGCAAAAAGCAAAATATCCCAATCTCTAAGACTTAAGGCTCTGACCACTGTAGGATCAGGGATAACTCAGGGATTCAGAGGTAAAAATATCCCAACGTTCCAAGATTTAGGGCTCCAACCACTGCAGGGCGTGCCAGGATCTGGGATAATTCAAGGACCCAGAGGCAAAAAGCAAAATATCCCACTCTCCAAGATTTAGGGCCCCAACCACTGCAGGGAATGTCAGCATCTAAAATAATCTGGGATAACTCAGGGATCCAGAGACAAAAATATCCCAGTCTCCATGACTTAGGGCTCTGACTATTGCAGGGCACGCCAGGATTTGGGATAACTCAGGAATCCAGAGGCAAAATGCAAAATATCCCAATCTCCAAGACTTAAGGCTCTGACCACTGTAAAGGCACGCCAGGATTTGGGATAACTCAGGGATTCAGAGCAAAAATATCCCAGAGCTCCAAGACTTAGGGCTCCAACCACTGCAGGATCTGGGATAATTCAGCGATCCAGACGCAAAAAGCAAAATATCACAAATTTCAAGACTTAGGGCTCTGACCACTGCATGGCACACCAGGATTTGGGATAACTCACGGATCCAGAATCAAAAATCTCCCAATCTCCAAGACTTAGGACTTTGACCACTGCAGGGAATGCCAGGATTTGGGCTAACTCAGGAATCCATAGGCAAAAATATTCCAGAGCTCCAAGACTTAGGGCTCCAACCACTGCAGGATCTGGGGTAACTCAGGGATTCAGAGGTAAAAATATCCCAATCTCCAGGACTTAGGGCTCTGTCCACTGCAGGGAATGCCAGGATTTGGGATAACTCACGGATCCAGAATCAAAAATCTCCCAAAACTCCCAAACTCACAAAATCCTTCTCCCGCTGGTGCCTCTCCTCCGCCTCCTTCAGCATCTCCTGCGCCTGCTGGAGCTTGGCATCCACCAGCTGCTGCTGCAGCTCCTTGTGCTTGAACACCTTGTCGATGTGCTGGGGAGGGACAGCACAGTTCAGGGAGGATCAGAGGCTCCTCCTGCCCCTCTAAAAACAAAACCAGCCCTGTCCTCACCCACCTCCTCCCGCAGCTCATACTGCTCGATGAGCTTCTTGAGCCTCTCRGCCAGCTCCATGTTCTCCTGGCGCAGTTTGGAGTTGCGCTCGTTGTGCTGCTCCATCTGCAGTTGGATGTCGTTCAGGGTCACCTGGAAGTGRGAGGTCACCTCCTTCCTCTTCTCCTCCTCCTCTCTGGCGCGCTGGACGCCCTCCTCCTGTGGGAGGGAGGGAAAAAGGGCCCAAATTGATGTTCCCAGCTTCTTAATGTTCCTTAAATCCATCAGAACCTGCCTAAATTGGTGCTCTGAGCCCCCCACTGCTCCTTAAATCCATCAGAACCTGCCCAAATTGATGCTCTGAGCCCCCCATTATTCCTTAAATCCATCAGAACCTGCCCAAATTGATGCTCTGAGCACCTCATTGTTCCTTAAATCCATCAGAACCTGCCCAAATTGGTGCTCCCAGCTAATCCAGACTCCTGTTATTCCTTAAATCCATCAGAATCTGCCCAAATTGATGTTCCTAACCAATCCAGACTTTCGTTATTCCTTAAATCCATCAGGAACCGACTCTGGGCCTTACCCTGTCCCTTCCTCCAGCAGTCAAACCCTCAAATAACAATATATAAAAATATATAACCCTCAAATATATACATAACATATATATAATATATAATTATATATAAACATATAATAGATATTATTATACATGTTTTAATATTATATATATATAAAATATATAACAACATATAACTCTTGAATAACCCTTGGATTTTGTAGAAAACAATGGCTCAGCACCAAAATTAAAACCCAACCACGATAGCAGAGTGGGGGCAACCACTGGGAAAACTGAATTTGCCTCAGCACCAAAATTAAAGCCCAGCCATGACGGCAGATTGGGGGCAACCATTGGGAAAAGCCAATCAGCCTCAGCACCAAAATTTAAGCCCAACCCCAATGACAGAGTGTGGGCAACCACTGGGAAAGGTGAATTTGCCTCAGCACCAAAATGAAAGCCCAACCCCAATGACAAATTGGGGGCAACCAATGGGAAAGGTGAATGTGCCTCAGCACCAAAATTAAAACCCAGTCACCACAGCAGAGTGCGGGGCAACCATTGGGCAAGGCCAATTAGCCTCAGCACCAAAATTAAAGACCAACCCTAATGGCAGAGTGCGGGGGCAACCACTGGGAAAGGCGAAATTGCCTCAGCACCAAAATTAAAGCCCAGCCATGACGGCAGATTGGGGGCAATCACTGGGAAAGGCCAATTTGCCTCAGCGCCAAAATTTAAGCCCAGCCCTAATGACAGAGTGCGGGGCAACCATTGGGAAAATTGAATTAGCCTCAGCATCAAATTTAAAGCCCAGCCATGAGAGCAGATTGGGGGCAACCACCAAGAAACATGAATCAGCCTCAGCACCAAAATTAACGCCCAACCATGACGGTAGAGCGTGGGCAACCATTCAGAAAGTTGAATTAGCCTCAGCACCAAAATGAAAGCCCAACCCCAACAGCAGAGCATGGGCAACCATTCAGAAAGTTGAATTTGCCTCAGCACAAAAATTAAAGCCCAGCCACAAGAGCACATTGAGGGCAACCACCAGGAAAGGTGAATTAGCCTCAGCACCAAAATTAAAATCCAATCACGACAGCAGAGTGGGGCAACCATTGGGCAAGTTGAATTTGCCTCAGCGCCAAAATTAACACCCCAATGACAGAGCGTGGGGCAACCATTGGGAAAGGCCAATTAGCCTCAGCACCAAAATTTAAGCCCAACCCAAACGACAAATTGGGGCAACCACTGGGAAAGGTGAATTTGCCTCAGCACCAAAATTTAAGCCCAACCCCAA